AAAAGACGTCAAATAATCAGTTTCTTTTTTTCTAAATTCAATGATTTTTTTTGTGTGTAAAAAACTTCAGTTTCAAAACCACTGACTGCTCCTTTAAGACTAATATATGAACCTCACTGCTCTGGTTAGTTAACTCCCCCCCTCACCTCCCTCACCCTCACCTCCCCCCTCTCACCCCTTCCTTTCCTGCAGCCAGGTTCATAAATAAACATGTGTTTATCAATGTGGGAGAAAAGAAGCCGAACTACTGCCACCTACAGGTCTGTGTGTGTGAGTGTGTGTGTGTGAGTGTGAGTGTGAGTGTGAGTGTGTGTGTGTGTGAGACCATGTAAACGTGTACTGTTTGATTTACTCCAAAAACTCCTGGAGGGAAAACCAGGCGATGAAGGCGTGTGGGCGGAGCCGAGAAATGAGAGAGCGAGGAGGAGGGGGCGGAGCTTAAACGTGGCGTTCAACACAGCAGATGATGGTTGTACATAATCCCTGTGAACGTTGACCAATCACAGCTCAGGAAAATACTGTAGTATCTTTGTAGGATTTTGACGTGAAATACACGACAAATGTGACGTGAAAGGATTAAAGAACGAGAAGAAAATCATCTGAGGGAGTTCTGCCCCCGGGGGCAGATCGAGAGTGAAATGTTAGGATTAGGATTAGGATTAACGAGCAGTTGGACTGACAGGTAAATTAAGCTCGGATTAAACGGCGTCGTCTATGACATCATCAGACGGATCGTTACGACGTCTGGCTCAGGTTCCACACTTGTTTCATCTGATTTTTTCCACTGTCCCCAAACTGGTCCCCGCCCCCCAAAAAAATCTTATTATTATGATATATATTTATTATTAATATTGTTTATCCAAATTTAAATATACTTTAACATGAAGTGTTTGTGTGTTGTTTATTTTCAAAATAAAAAAAAAAACAAAAAACAGCGGGCCGGATTAGACGCCGTACCGGGCCGATTTTTGGTCCGCGGGCCATATGTTTGACACCCGTGGTCTAAGGTTTATTATGGAGAGCAGGATCGTCAGGTGAAAACAGTCTGGTCCAGTCGTCCTCGTTACTGGTACTGGTACTGGTACTGGGACTGGTACTGGTACTGGTACTGGTACTGTAGGATAAGTAAGATAAAGGCGTGAGATCAAAGCCTTCAAACAGCTGTGTTCCCCGGCCCATATGGGCTGGATGTTTTTCTGCTCAGTTCCAGTCTCTGTTCTGAAGTTGACACTAATTAAACTCATTCCAGAGGAAACTCCACGGAGCTCGGGGATAAAAGTGGGCCACGTGTGTCTGTGTGTGATTATGAAGCCCGACTCACTTAAACCACTAATGGGCTCCAACCCACACGCTGGTCCAGCGGCTATTTTTATCTGAAGTCTAAAAGCTCTGGGCTCAGACCTGCAGAGGAATCAGGCCCAGACGTTGACTGGACCCAGTTTGTGGGCCACTGGGATAAACAGTCAGAGACCCCGTCCAGCCCAGGACCAGGACCAGGACCAGGAGTCAGAGTCAGACCAGGAGGTGAGCGGCTCCTCACAGCCCACAGCTCCTGCTCCCATTACTTATTCATGCTAACGGGCTCCACCAGGCCCACTTATGTAGCCCACATTCTGCTGGGCTGCAACAAAACGCACACAAATTAGCCTTAACCACGTTCTCCATCTGCATGCAAATATCCTGCCGCTGCGTGAATCCCGTTTTCCCGCGGTCCCAGAGCAGCTCCGCTCGTTAGCGCCGGACTCGCCCTCAGACGGAGACGTTCCGCTGCTCCTCGCTCTGGATTCTCTCTGGATTAACAAGCCCCGTAGCCGACTTGTTTCGCCCGCAGAGCAGCTGCTTGATAATTTTGTGAGTCTGTGATTTTGCCAACTGTCGGAACGAGCGCCTCGTGTGGACTGACACGCCAGGAGTCCAGCAGGTTGTAGGTTTGAGGTTAGCCATTAGCTTCTCCTGCGTTTAGCGACTTACAAAAAGAGGATTAACAGCAACGCCTGGGTTTCGCCAAGTGATGTGAACTAAAAAATAGATTTGAGGAAAGTCACTAGATGGCAGCATTGCAGCTAAGTATTAGCAGTATTTCAGTTTATGGGGGGAGGGGGGAGTGAATCCCTGATCGGAACGACCTCGTCCGACTGATTTATTCAAGAATAACAAACGAATCGGAGAGAAAAACTGAACCAGTGCTTCGTCATTCCTGAAGAACTCCTCCACACCTAACTTTTCCTCCAGACTTTTCCAACTCAGACGGAGACGCCAGTGTTTTCACGCTCCTTCTACAGCAGACGTATCTGGAGCCGTCGTGACAAAAAAGTCAAAAACAGGAAACTGAAACGAGCTTCTTCACGCTGCTAAATAAAACAGAAAAAGACAAAAGAAAAAAGAAAAAAAAACCCCGTCTTACCCTCCTTTGTGTACGTCTGCAGACGGGGGTCTCTTGCTGCCGGTGCCGTCCTGGAGAACCTTCTTATCCAGGGATAACGTCAGCGGAGCGTCTCGGACCGGCAGACCCAGAACCAGCGTTTCCTTCGTCACGGAGGCCGTCTCCTCTCCGGCTCGACCCATGTGCTTCTTGGCATAGTCGAAGCCCTGGACAGGCTGTTGGGGGGGGGCAGGGGGGAGAACACATGATCAATGACATCATCGATGAAAAACAAAAATCAAAGTTTCTCCAGAATATGGATTTGTCTTCAATAAAAGTTGCGGCCTTGAACGATCTGAGTTTCGGATCACGAATGCAGCGAGGAAAAAACAGGGAACAGAACCAGTCAGAGTCGTTTACCGTCAGCGCTAATGAGGTTCACGGGCCACGAACACAGGCAGCAGAGCACAGCTAACGATGTTAGCGTTAAAAAAAAGTCTGTTAGTGATTCAACGGATTCAAATTTGACGAGCGACGCAGCAGGAAGAAAAGCAAAAGTTTCGACTTTTAGTATTTGACAAAATGGTACAAAATAGTTTCTGTGCTAAAGATACGGATGTTCTGAATGCTGTTAGCTATTAGCTACGACCTCTGCTTTGATGTTTGGCTAACTTTGGCTAACTACTGTTTGATATTTATTTTTAACTATTAATTTTGTTGGTTAACCTAAGAGAATTTTTGATTGGCTGTCAGCGGCTACGTCTCAGGAACATTTTGAACCTTTTTGTTTTATTTTTTTTTTTTTTTTTCTTTTTTTTTTGGTTTGAGTTTGAAAGAAATCTCATGTTTGGATGAGAGGAACTGTTGTTCTCCGCTACATCAGAAGAAGAATCTAAGAGAACATGAATTAGTGACGAGGGCTGACGACCCTCTGAGGTCAGAGGTCAGAGGTCAGAGGTCTTGCCGTAGAAACTTCCTGTGGTTTACCACTCACTTCACAGGAGAGGAAGAGCCTTTTAGGTTATGTAACAAAGAGGGGGGGGGGTCTGGGGGGGGGTGTTTGCCGTTGTTTTCTATTTTGAGTTGTTTCCTAAAGTGGGACGCCCTGAAGCAGTGGATGATGGGAAATAAACCTGGACGCGAGACGTAAAAGATTCATCGTCCGCACGGCGCTGCGTTCATCTGTGGAGGAGGAGGGAACTGAGACACGCTCCCTAACTGACGGCTCTAATGTGTGTGTGTGAGGGTGTGTGTGTGTGGGGGGGGGGGGGGGGGTAAATTAAATGTTCTGTTTCCAAATATATCCTCCATCATAAACAGACGGTGACTGGATTATGACGGAGCGAACGTGAGACGAGGTTTGAACTGAGAGTGAACCACACACACACACACACACACACACACACACACACACGCTGCACACTGAGGGTAAAGGATGCGTCACTCAGTGGCTGATGGGTAACGGACTGACATGTGATTCTCAGAAACCACGGAGGAGTGA